TGAATCATGAGCTGTTGTTTTTTAATAGCTCTTAATAAAGCAAAAGACGTAGTTTCAACCAAAATTTTTCCAGGGGAAAAATACCTCTCTGATGACTACTTCTTGTTCTGTTAATAATCAGATGAGATGATTTTGCTCTGAATTTGGTGCATAGTAAGGCAAAAGAAGCTGCCTTCAATAGTTTTATTTACAACAAGTGTAAGTGAGAGGAAGCTACAACCCAGCACTGACCTTTAGAAGAGAAGAGAAAAGGTGCCACCTTCACCTGTAGGTCTTGCTCTGCATCCTACTTCTAGGATTTCATAGGGTTGTGAAATACATGCTTCTGGTCAACCAAAACAGCTCTAAAAATTAATGACGAGGCTGATAATTTTTCTGGGGAGAGTGAGGAGGGAGATGGGAACAGCCACCGAAAAGGCTGTGAATGCAGGGGGCGTGGTGGGGAGCACAGGACAAAACTGGTGTACAAGAGACGTCTATGGCTGAGTGGGACCTGGATTAGCAGGATTCTAGCGCTCAGTTCTTCCCGTCCTCCACCAAGCTGCAGGGTAATAGTGCGGTGTGTGAGCGTCACGTTAAACTTATCAGGCGTTACCATTTGTAGTAAATGGTTCTCATGGGAAAGGCTCTGTTAGCCCAGTGAGTAGGAAATGTCTCAGAAACCCAGTACATTGAGAGTACGTGTCAATTGTTTCCTTCCAGGCACTTTGGGAAGGGAGCCTAGAAGTTCATCTCAGCGTTTGGAACAGTATAAACAGATGCCAAGCACTTTAAGTACACAGAAAAGGAAAAGGTCTTGCTTGGCCTTCCTGAACAGACTTGGTGGGGAGGGGAAGGGGGCGGACACAAAAAGTGGCATTAAGTAAGCCTTTCCCTAGCAGAACAGGGAGAAGCAGCTAAGTAATGCAGATGTCTGTCTGTGTATATACAACTTAGTTTTATATTACCAAAATCTGTACTGCGCACACGTGGTCAAAAGATTAAAGAGATTGTCCAGTATGTTGGCAGCATATTAAAGTATTAAGACTACAGGCTTACTCTGATGTGTTTCTATTATCAAGCTGGCCACAGAATTAAACTGATTCAAAGGAGGACGTGGTTTTAATACAGATCCAGGAATCACCCCATCCTTTTTCATCTGACTTTTGGATGCTTTCTTGGCTGTAAGAATCCTTTGGGAAGGACTACCGTTGCCCTGTCTGTCCCGGGACCACCCGTACCCTACACCTGCTGCTTGTGCTCAGATAAGATTTCGCCTTCTCTATTCCTGTGCAGCATTTACGCTGTCTGCCATGTTAAAGCTGCTATATCCAGTCGCTGGAATAACTTTCCTGGTTTCCTCTGACACACTCAGTAGCGCTAAGTCATGCCTTCAGGTGTCAATCTGCAAAGTCTTGCTGTAGGTGTCTCGAACTTTGGCATTGTGTCCTTCTGTGGTTTGAGCCCGCTTCTCAAAGATTGCAATGCTGGCACACTGCGCTGGAGGCAGCACACGCAGGTCCCTTTCCTTCTGTCACTGTTGTGCTTCCTGAGTTTTGGACCTTGCCTGACCCTGGATTTTTCGTTCTTTGTTGCTCCCTGAGATGGCAAGTTATTCACGTCCAGTCCTGTACAGGACAGTTGTACAGGAGCAGCAGGAGATGCACGTGCCGTGGTGAACTTGTTGGCTTTTAGATGGTGTGTGCTGATGGAGTTTCTGCAGTGACCCTTTTTGATACCTTAGCCTACTTCATACTGCCTAAAAAGTAACTGTAACTTCACTCTGAGAGATTCTCACTAACACTTTATATCTGTTAGTTTATATCTTGATGTCACCAACACTATCTGTATATCTGTTTTCTTTATTTAGCATGGTCTTCTGCATAGTTAGAGCCAGTACATCAATTTGAGCTTGCTGTAGCACTTAGTCACCAGAATGATGATGTGATTTGTTTCAGGGCCATCACAGGCACTGCAGCACCATCATATCAGTGAGTGAGCAGGGAATTTCTTTATAAGCCTCTGCTTTATGTTACAATTTCCACATAACAAATTACTTTGTAGTCAAAATATATCACACTTAGCGCCAGTCTGGGGATGAACATATTTTTTTCAAGCAATCCTTTTGGAGAACAATTTTTTTTTCATTTTGTTTCTCTTTGAGAATTAAGAACATGGTATTTAAGAAGCCTTTTTCAGATGCTTCTTAATACTTAAGTAACTCAACAATAGCATGCACTTAAAATTTCCAATATGTCCTCTGTTTTTGCTTTTCAAAGGGACTGCTGCTGGAGATCTATATACCTCAATAGTCTTGCTGGGCTATAGAGCATATATGTAGATGGGTATGACATATAGGGTAATATGCATAGGGCTTGAGCTATTTTCATAAACTTTTGTCCCTATCCTTGCATATACAGCTCATCATTCCATTCTTTGCAACATCCTTGGGGAACTCAGCTATTTTAATGTTGCCATTAAGGAGGGCCATGCTGGTCAAGCAGCTTTTAAAAAGGCCTTGGATGCTTTTGGGATGAAAATTCACATGCAAAAAAGGTGAAGGACTCGTCAGACTTTGCAGCTGGCCTCAAGAGCATGGGGAATTTGCAATGGTAGATGTGGGGTCTCAGCAG